TCTGTTTGTGCAGAATGCTGTTTTGATGTTGTGTTTATGGAGGATCTTACTGATTCTGTCTGTGGTGCCTTTTATGTATGGGAGGAGGGCTTTGCCGTTATCTTGTTCTTTGTCTTGGATTTTAGTGGGGGTTTCTTTTTGGATTAGGTTTGTAATCTTATTTCTTTGGAATCCATTGGATGTTAGTACATTGGTGAGAGTGTGTAGTTCGGTTTTTAAGTGTTGTTCGTCAGCTAAGTGTTTTGTTCTAGAGATGAGTGTCTTGGCTACGGAGTTGATCTGGGCTGGGTGGTGGTGTGAGAGAGCGTGCAGATAGCGGTTTGTGTGTGTTTTCTTCTGGTAGATGGTGTGTCCTAGGGAGCCATTGGATTTCTTGTAGACTAAGACATCCAGGAAGGGAAGTTGGTTGTTAGCTTCTGTTTCCATGGTGAACTGTATTTTGGGGTGTAGGCTGGTGAGGTGTGTGAGGAAGTTGTCCAGTTTTTCTTTCCCATGTGGCCAGATTATGAAGGTGTCATCTACGTATCTGAGCCAGAGTTTGGGTTTGTGATCCGATTTTTCTAGAGCTTGGGTTTCAAAGTGTTCCATATAGAGGTTTGCAATGACAGGTGAGAGGTGTGATCGTGTTGGATAGGCAGTGGTTGGTCAGATCTAAGATGTGTTGGGGGGGTTATATTTGTTTTGGATAGCTGTCAAGGCTTCTTTGATAGGCACTTGGGTGAAGAGGGATATGACATCGAAGCTCACGAGTAGGTCACTGGGCTGTAAGTTTTGTTTCTTTATGATCTCTATAAACTGGAATGAGTTTTTTACGTGTGAGTGTGATGGATTCTGCATAGGGCTGTAGTTGTTTGGCGAGAAATTGGGCTAGGTTTTGTAGAGGTGAGCCTATGGAGCTGACTATAGGTCTGAGCGGGGTTCCTTCCTTGTGTATCTTGGGGAGACCATAGAGTTTGGGGCATCTGGATGATTTCTCTCTGGGAATGATTCTTTCCTGGATCTCTTCGCTAATGGGGGAGGCTTTTTCATGCTGTGTGGGCGTTTTGGGGGTTGCGTTTTGGGCATTGCCCCCAAAAGCAACTTACCCAAAGAGGAACAGACAGCACTACGTAACCTGAAAGAAGACACCAGCATAATAATCCTACCAGCAGACAAGGGCAACGCCACGGTGGTTATGAACACATCTGACTACCAAACCAAATTAATCAACCTACTCCAAGACTCCACATACAAACCCCTAAATACAGATCCCACCACCTACCTGGAAAAAACCACCAGAACCAAGATAAAAGCCTCCCCCATTAGCGAAGAGATCCAGCCAAGAATCATTCCCAGAGAGAAATCATCCAGATGCCCTCAACTCTATGGTCTCCCCAAGATACACAAAGAAGGAACCCCACTCAGACCTATAGTCAGCTCCATAGGCTAACCTCTACAAAACCTAGCCAAATTTCTCGCCAAACAACTACAGCCCTATGCAGAATCCATCACCTCACATGTAAAAAACTCATTCCAGTTTATATAGATCATAAAGAAACAAAACTTACAGCCCAGCGACCTACTAGTGAGCTTCGATGTCATATCCCTCTTCACCCAAGTTCCTATCAAAGAAGCCTTGACAGCTATTCAAAACAAATATAACCCCCCCCAAACACATCTTAGATCTGACCAACCACTGCCTATCCAACACATATTTCATTTATAATGGACAAAAATACAAACAAACAGAAGGAGCACCCATGGGATCACCCCTACACCTGTCATTGCCAACCTCTACATGGAACACTTTGAAACCCAAGCTCTAGAAAAATCTGATCACAAAACCAAAACTTGGCTCAGATATGTAGACGACAACCTTCATATACTGCCAATGGGAGAAGAAAAACTGGACAATTCCTCACAAACTCAACAGCCTACACCCAAAATACCAGTCACATGGAAACAGAACTAACAACAACTCACCTTCCGGATGTCTTGTAGTCCACACAAGAAATCAATGGCTCACTAGCGGACAACCATCTACAGAAGCAAAACACACACAAACCGCCTATCTTGCACGCTCTCTCACACACCACCCAGCACAGATCAAACTCTGTAGCCAAGACACTCATCTCAGAACAAAACGCTTAGCTGATGAACAACACCTAAAACCCGAACTACACACTCTCACCAATGTACTAACATCCAATGGATTCCATAGAAATAAGATTACAAACCTAATCCAAAAAGAAACCCCCACCAAAATCCAAGACAAAGAACAAGAAACGGCAAAGCCCTCCTCCCATACATAAAAGGCACCACAGACAGAATCAGTAAGATCCTTAATAAACACAACATCAAAACAGCATTCTGCACAAACAGAAAAATATCCACCATCCTTAGAAACCCCAAAGATAAAATTGAATTAGAAAATCAAGGAGTAGACGAAATCCCATGCACCACTTGTCACACCACATACATCGGACAAACCAACAGAAGAATAAGTGCACGCATTGAAGAACATAAGAACTCAGTCAAAAAAGAGGAACCAACATCTTCCCTGGTCCAACACCTTAAAGACACAGGACATGAAATTGACTTTAAAAATACCAGAACCATTGCCAAAAGAGAACATTTTAATAACAGAATAATCAGAGAAGCCATCGAGATAGAAAAACGCCCACACAGCATGAACAAGCGAGATGATACCTCCCGCCTACCAGCCATTTGGAAACCCGCCCTTATTGATCAAACGACTCCTAACCGCAAAAATCTTAAACCCTCTGCAACTCAGACTAACCTGAGCACAACCAAACAGAACACTCCCCCAGCCAATCAGAGCACAGCCAAGCCCCTAACCATTCAGAACACACCTCCACCCAATCAGAACACAGCCAAGCTCCCATCCAATCCGTTCATACCCTCACTGGCAGTTAACAGGAAGAAACAGCTCAAACCACACATTGCTGCTCAAAGCAAGAAGCTAAAAAACAACCAGCCTGAAGATGACGAATGTGACTTCGTCGAAACGTTGCAAGACACTTCCAATTTTACGCGGAGAAACCCGAACAACCAAAAAGACCTATATATATATATTATATATATATATATATATATCTATATCAATATATATAGTGTAGGTCTTTGGTTGTTCGGGTTTTCTCCGCGTAAAGTTGGAAGTGTCTTGGCGACGTTTCGACGAAGTCCCATTCGTCATCTTCAGGCTGGTGCTTTCAGCTTCGTGCTTCCATGAAGCTGAAAGCATCAGCCTGAAGATGACGAATGGGACTTCATTGAAACGTCGCCAAGACACTTCCAATTTGACGTGGGAGAAAACCCGAATAACCAAAGACCTACATATATGTGTATATATATATGTATGTATGTATGCATGTATGTATGTATGTTATACCTATACACATACAGTACATACATTGGAGATACAGATATATCTCCAATGATAGATATTGGAGAGCAATCAACCAGTGGAATAGCTTGCCTTCAGAAGTTGTGGGTGCTCCATCATTGGAGGCTTTCAAAAAGAGACTTAAAAACCATTTGTCTGAAATGGTATGGGGTCTCTTGCTCAAGCAGAGTCCCTTCCAACTCTATTATTATATGTCAGTCTGTCTGTCTGCCTACCTATCCATTTGTCTGTCCGTCAGTCCCTCTTTATCTCTCCCTCCCCAATATAGTCATTGGTTGACCTTTCAGAATGGAGATAATGTCCTTTTCCCCATTTTTGCTAAAGCAAGAAAAAGGGAATTTTAAAATGCTAATAAAATTTTATTATCCTCAATGACTATTGTGCCCAATGTAGCTAACAGTGTTGTGCCTATGTACAAACGTATTACCATAAAGTTCATCACTACACCATCATTTTTCGTCCTGTCCTGCTGTGGAAGGCATGGAGTTGTCTATATTCAGAAACTGGCTGATCCTTGGAAATTTGGCTATGCACGTCTGCTATGAGTTTTCCAATGAATTTTAGTTGTACGTGGGGCAGCTGTTTATACAGGTGCAGCTGTATAAAGACATTAAATGGTAGTTACAGAGTTTCTGATCTTTTAATTCTGTAATACTTCCAACATTTTTAATAACTGCATGATCATTAGAGTCTCAGGAGGTCAAGCATTTCTTGGCATGGAACTGCAATGACTGGGAGACTTGCTCCAGTTGAATTTTGGCCTGTTGCACAGCAGTGGAAAAGCACAAATCACAGCTGGAAATGTCAGAGTTTATTGAGGACATGGCTGTAGCGTTATCCCCCGGTGGATTGGATCTTAAATACTGATGCTTTCTCCACCATTTTTTGATACCTGAGAAAGATCAATATTACAAGTTATGGGATGCTGTGTCTGATAAATGTTCATATGGAAAAGGAGGAAAGTAATGTTTAAATTGGTGCCTAGATAATGAGATGAGGTTGATTTTAGCTTAACTTGTCATGGTCAAATTTGATATTTGCTTCAGCTAGGCACAGACTTTTCTGTTTGGGTACAGTATGCTAGTTGTTTTAATTTACCTTCTTCTATACTTTTATCCATTTGATTTAAACAGGGTGTTCTGAATGCTTGTGCAAATTTTCCCCTTTATTAAACCTTACTCTTTTTTTGCGAGCGCAAACATTTGGACAAAATTTTAAAATAGATTTCAAGAATAAAAACTTATTGGGAATTTTAAAAAAGGCTACAGCAAAAGCATTTTGCTAAACTCTCATGTAAATATTGTAAAAATATTCTCTACTGCCTTTGTGCTTGCATTTTAGGTTGGAACTTGGATCCATGAAAACAAATGCTAAATTCTTTTAGAATTACTTTTGTGGCAATTGTTTTCAAAACGGCAATATAATTTTACTATGTGCTCCCATGTTGTACTAGTTATATTGATCCCTTTTAACCACTAATCCAGTGCTTAAAAATGTGCACTAAAATATATTAGTAGCAAAATAAATAGGACTATTTCTAAATTAATTAAGTTATAGATGATAAATATTGTGAATTATCTGTCTTTCTTTACAGATACCAGGCACTGGTTTACTTTACCTCTGTGTTTCAATCTATTTCTTGCGGCATCCATTACTTGGCTTCTGTTTTCTTGGCTGTTACACCAAAGTTTGTATGTAGTGTTCCTGGAAATGTGAGCCATGTCCTCATTTACAATTCATCTCATTCAAACATAGAGGATGTCTGGAGTCTGTGGACATCAACGCAAAGCTACATCTTGGTCCAGCTGGCAAATGGAGACATTTGGGAGCTTAATCAATGCAGCAGGTCTAAACGAGAAAATGTCTCAAGATTTACTTACAAATATAGTGGGAACAAGACTGATTTTCTGTGTACTGATGGCTATATCTACGACCACACCAATTGGCAGAGCACCATTGTAACCGAGTGGGATTTGGTCTGTCAGCAGGAATGGCTTGCAAAATTAACCCAGCCAACATTTATGCTGGGGGTCCTTATTGGAGCTGTAATCTTTGGAGACCTTGCAGACAGGTACAGTATGGGGTTTGCAAAAAATTGTTGGAGGATCTTGAGGTTTAATATCTCCTGGCTCTTGAGCTCATTTACCTTGGGAAGATGTACTCTTTTGTACCTCCCAGAGCATAGTGGAGTGATAGTTGACTTAACATAATACAAATCACAGTACAGGAGCTTCCTAATGCAGCATTTTTTTCTGTCACTGACTTTTGGCCTTCATTTTCTAAGAAAATTTGCTTTTCATCTTTATTCCATGTTTGAGTTAGTCTAAAGTCTGATATCTAGCAAGTAAAGAAAACTTTCACCTATAAAGCTGCATGTACCTAGGGTTTTATTTAAACCATTTAGCACCCATTGTGCAAAAACAGCTTTATTTCCCATTGGGCTAATAGATTCCTAATGTGCTATGATTGCAAATGTAAATAACGGGATCTGGTTTAAGTCAGATGGAAATTCTGTACAAAGCTGCATGAATTCTTTTGACCAGTCAGGTCTAACTCAGCTGTGCCTTACTTCCAACGTATCTGTCTCTGTTATCAGTTGGATTTCTTCCCTGCTGATACATACCGACGCAAAAAGCACGGAGCAGCACAACTTGGAAAAATAAATACAAATTCAATTTCTGACCCTTCATAGAAAAAGTAAACACTTTTCTGTATGTTAATTCTGCTTTACTTTACTTGCATCTGGCATGAACTTTGGAGCTCCAGTGTTCTTAGGAACCATTTCCCCTCATTTCTTTGTACGCCACACCAACTTTTGAGATATTCCAAGTTAAGTGCTACAAAGGTTTCAACAGGAGAGAGGAAATCACGGCTGCTTACTCAGATGGCTGGGATGCCATCGAAGATGGCTGCTAGCAAGATAATGTGATCTAATGTCCCTGTCAACTTGACCTGGGACAGTCCAAAGTACATTTGTCCTGCCATGCAGATATGACCGGGGCTCTGCTGCAGCTGCCAGTATCTGTCTTAAGGTTGTCCATCACAGCAGTGGATACTGATAATTTTTTTAATGAAAAATATTTGGAAATGCAGATGGTTCAAAATGTTAATTGACTCCTCTTTGCCTGCTCATAGTGTACAAATTCTTGATTTTGATTCTGTTGGGTGAAAGTTCATAAACCTTCCTGGCACAAAACCCCCCAAAATTACACTATTATGGTTTGATGTAGCTGTTTTCCCACTATATACATATTGGCTGCCAGGACAGCATGTGCCTCTACAACAGTGTTTCTCAACCTTGACGATTTTAAGGCATGTGGACTTCAACTCCCAGAATTCCACAGCCAGCAATGCTGGCTGTGGAATTCTGGGAGTTGAAGTCCACATGCCTTAAAATCGTCAAGGTTGAGAAACACTGCTCTACAAGGATGGTGCCTGCTGTAAGTTTTAAACAAAGATATCGGGGCGGGGGGAAACAAAGTAGAAAAGTCTTTCGGGTATGCAAGGACAAGAGGAAAATGTGTGTGCAGAATCATGAGCCTGTGGGATATGGTGCTCTGTTGAGTGTAACATCCTGCAAAAGCAATATTTTGACAGCACATCAAAATGAGGTTCATCATTCTATTGGATTCTTGGTGCTCTCTGACCTTGGCTTTTTTTTTATGTAGCTGTTTCATTGTCAGAGTAGGTACCACTATCAGTTCTCTGACATGAGGAAGGGACTCTTCATGGGAAGTTTAGAATAACATTGAGGGGTGGGAACTAGGAGGGAGTCTTTGTGATTTCAGTCCAGATTCAAACCATTCAAACTGCTCCAAATGTGAGATTGACACTCATGGAGTATAAGTGTTAAATATGTTCAGGGTAGAAATATAGACTTACATATTTTACAGAGTCTCTAGAATGGACTAGGCAGCTTGTGGTTCTCCAAGTGCAGTTGAAGCACCATTCTCGGCACCCCTAGAAAGCATGGACAGTAGTGAGGCCAGATATCTGGAAAGCCACATGTTGTCTACTGCAGATGTAGAAGTATGCACAATTTGTGCTTATTACTGTATATAAGGGATTCTACAAGTAAAAGCTGTTGCTGGATTGGAATAACAGTTTCAGTTGTGAAGAAAAAGTGTAAGCTTTGTAGAGAAATCTTAAAAATGAGCATGGACCTTCTGAATATATTTATGTTAATTCTGATGCTACTTGTAAAAGAGCATTTTTATTATGGAATGATTTCATGCCTATAAGTATCTTCCGGTGTTTACTAGTACAAAAGCAGACAAAACATTGGTTGTTTATTTTAATTTGTTATTTTTATATTGCATCTTCTCTCCAGTAGCCCAAGGCACCCTTTCCTCCAGTATTTTTCCACAACAAACCAGTGGGAGAAGTTGAGCTGAGGGAGAGACTGGTCTCAAGTCTGTGGTGGAGATAAACCTCAACTTAATTCTCCTGGCTGTTGGCCAACATTGTAACCAAAGAATGGCATCCTCATTCCTTGATGAAATAGGTGTATATTTAGCATATATTTGATATTCTACTTGGATAGAAATTGCAGTAATAGGACATCCATTAAGATCAACTAGTAAAATATCAGTTGGATTTTGCATGAAAATTTGTAAATATTACAACCCATAGTGTAGCACAGTACAGCATAGCATAGTTTTTATCATTCTGTACTAATAATGTACTCTGCTGTAGTATTAATCAAGCAGGATTTGTCATAAATAAGAGGGCAATCATTTAAGCCTATTAATAATATAAAATACCTTTATATGACACTAAGGAGGATCTTGCCATAATCTTTTCATTAGACGTTGAAAAAATTCTATTGGCAATAGTGTAGTTACCTCTAAATCACAGGTGTCAAACTAGCTGCGTCATGTGACGTGTTGCAATGTGTCGCGACTTTTTTTGCATTGCCGGAGCTGTGGTGGGCGCGGGCTCCATATGATGCAACCAGCCCCACAGCTTGACACCCCTGCTAAATGGAAGGGCTGCTGTTACTTTCCTGAAAAGAACAGAAAATGGTGTTGAAAACAAAGGAATGGGCTGAGGTGCAAATTATTGGGGGATTAGATAGCCTAGCAATTAGGAGCTGCATACCTAATGAATTTTAACCCTTTCTGAATCTGGAGACAGGGTTCCTCTTGCTCTGATACCCTTCCCTGCCTAAGTCCTTTCCCAGTTTTATTTCAGTTCCTTTACCTTCTATCACAGCTACCCCCTTCCTCTTTCTCTGTTTTTATTTCCATTCTTGCTGCTCCTGCACCCTCCCCCCCCCCCCGTTTTCCCCACAACTACAATTCTGTGAGCTGGATTGGGCTGAGAGTGGCTTTGTGTGAGTGTGTGTGTGTGTGTGTAGGTTTATAGGCTTTAAGTGAATACAGGTAGTCCTTCATTTATCACCACAACTGAGTCTAAAATTTCTGTTGCTAAATGAGACATTTGTTAAGTGAGTTTTGCCCCATTTCACGACCTTTCTTGCAACAGTGGTTAAGTGAAACACTGCAGTTGTTAATAGCATAATTGCAAAGTGAATCTGGTTCACTTGTTGACTTTGCAGGTCAGAAGGATGCAAAAGTTGATCACATGATCCCAGAACACTGCAACCCTTATAAATATGAGTCAGTTGCCAAGCATCTGAATTTTGATCACATGACCACAGGGATGCTACAATTGTCATAAGTGTGAAATCACTTTTTTCAGTGCCATTGTAACTTTGATTGGTCACTAAATGAATTGTTGTAAGTTGAAGACTACCTGAATGTATGTTTTTATTAGTTTGTAATATAAAATACAAAAATACGAAAGCAAAATATAGGTAAAATAGACTACTGTATGTATATTTCTGTTTGCCAGAGCAGTTTCTGCATGAGTGAATCCCTGAATTTGTAGGGATCTATTAATTTTATAACTATACTTTTATTTTATAGGCAGTTAATTTTAATAAGTAGTTATTCTATTCTGTTCTATGTTTTATCGTGGCTTTACCTTTTTTTTGGTGTGGCCTCTAGAAGATGTATCTACGCCTATATGTACATACCTACACACAAATGTAAAACATGGATAATTTCGGATGAACAACAGGAATAACTTCCTAATGGTGTGAATGGAAAACCTTGGGAAATGAGGTGTTCTCCTTTGCCAAAGGTATTTAAGCGGGCTAAATGGCTATATGTCAGGTAAGCTGTAGGAATGGATTCCTGCGCTGGGTAGAGATTGGGGGTAGATGACCTCCATGATTCCTCCCACCCTTTACATTCAATGGGAAATGTCAAGAACATGTAATAGCTTTGTTCCCTATGCCATCCGTCTGGTAAACTTGCAAGATTCGTTTTTCTTGCCATGCACATATATACATATTCCGAACTTCTCTATGTCATATAATATATGTGGGTATATGCATAATTCTGTAATTTATTTATTTATTTATTTATTTATTCATGTATGTATGTATGTATGTATGTATGTCATATTTATGTAGTGTAGTGTGACTCTTTGAGAGCTGTATGCAATGAAATTTCATTTTAATGTATGCCAATTAGTGTACATTCAAAGTGACAATAAAGTTATTATTCTATTCTATAACAGGTTTCAGTTTATGCTGGTCATCCTGGGTAGGAAAGAAGAAGCTGGATAGTGTGCAGGGTATATCCAGAGAGGCACAGATTTTTCCTATGCTGAGATAACTAGCTAGTTAGCTAGCAAGCTAAATACTGTAGATGATAGGTAGGTAGGTAGGTAGGTAGGTAGGTAAGTAGGTAGGTAGGTAGGTAGGTAGATAGATAGATAGATAGATAGATAGATAGATAGATAGATAGATAGATAGATAGATAGATAGATATTTTTTTTACGTATTCTTTGTTTTGGGGGGATTGCCTTTAATTCATTTTTGGTTAAATATAATTCCTATTTTTGTTCTTTAAAGTTTTTTTAAATTTTTCATTAAGGCAAGCTAAATAGATTTATGCTTGTTAACTTGCAGGTAAGGAATATTTAGAAAAAAATCCTGAATTTTCCATTCCAAAATTAATAAGATTTTATTAATGTGTTTGGAATCCTTTCTGCTTATAATATAATTTGAACTAACACCTCTGGGAGTTACTAAACTGTTCAGATTTTTTTTTTCATCTGGATAATTATAAGAATTTGCTTCTCTATATTTGGAAAAAAAATATGTTTTTCATCAAATTCCCAGTGAGAAGACTATTAATTGAAAATAGTAATTCATGTATTTAATGGTAATTGTTTCTCTATTAAGCTGACTTTGTAACTGACCCTAAATATGTGCAACTAGTTTCCATTATTACAGCAATTTAATAAGATATTTTAGGTTGCTGTGGATTATTCTGTTTTTCTTTTCCTTGCCTCCTTTTTTTCTTTTTCAATATATTTTCAAAGTTTGTTGCTTTATATACTTTGAAATAAATACAGTTATTGTGTGTCTTTTTTATTTTTAAAACTCTTTTATTTTTTAAAAAATATATAATGAAAGCCTAGTTTATTTGCATTGTTGCAACTATACATTGTTGGGGGCAATATGCTGAATCTGTAAACTGTGTAGAGAGGGCTGTAAAACACTGTGAAACGGTATGTAAGTCTAAGTGCTATTGCTGTTGCTCCCATACTGTTGTAATTTGTTGGAAGCCAACATAACATTTCTGAAGATTGTAGAGAGATTTGATAGTGAATACAGGATTGGTGGGACGTCCTTGTTTCTTATTAGTTCAGATGCATGTTTGTCCAATGTCACGTCTGCAATATTTATTATTACAGTTGTTATTTACAGACTGGGGAGACGCTACATCCTGTGGCTCACAAGCACTGGACAGTTTATATTTGGCATTGCTGTGGCGTTCACATTTAACTACACCAGTTTTGTGATTGTCCGTTTCCTTCTTGCAATGGTAAGAGTACAAGCTTATCTTTTTTCAAACAAAATTATTTGCATTACTTTTTTTTTTAACTGACATTTCAAAAAGTACAAATTGCCGCATCTTCCAATCAAGTTAAAAGATTGTTTAGAGTTTTTTTTTAAAAAACTGGTTTATTATGGATCTAATATTATTAAGATAAAATGCAATAAAGGAACTAAAGATCACATTTCAGGCATTTTCCTTAAAAAAAATTGACAGCGTAGCTTAAGTGCTGATAATATGGACCATAGTCTCAATCCAGCCAGAGTTAAGGGCGGAGTGGTTAATTTTTTTTTGAGTTCCCTGCTCCTAAATAATGAGTCTTAGATGGCAATCTCCCCCTATTTTATATATGCTTAACTTATGCAAGAATTCAGAGACGTGAATGTGGGCTGCTCTATGTTTAAATCATTTTGCCCAACTTCTTTTCTATGGGGGAAAGCTGTGTGCTGAGAAACTGATTGGCCAAAGATCACCTGATGAATTTTATGACCATCAGATCTGAATCTGGAGCACAGTTCCCTGCCCCAGGTCCATGCTGTTATATCTTGCCACCTGGGCATCCTTTGGCTGGACTGTGCCCACATTAGTTTCCAGTATTTATTCAATTTAGATACCATCTATCTCACTTCTCAGTATTGTGCACTCTCACTATTATTGCTCCATTCATTACCGAAGCACCACTTTCCATTTTAAGAAAGGGGCCTTGCTGTTCTGAGCATCCCTGACCATCATTTTTTAATTACAAAAGAATCTTAGTGGGAGACTATACTGGAGTCATTTTCTTTTATCTGTCCTTTTTCCCCTCCTAGGTTTCAAGTGGCTACTTGGTGGTGGTGTTTGTTTATGTGACTGAATACACGGGCATCAAAGCCCGCACCTGGGCCTCCATGCACATCCATGCTTTCTTTGCTGTGGGAATCATGGTGGTGGCCCTTGTGGGCTACTTGGCACGGACCTGGTGGGTCTATCAGATCTGCCTTTCTGTAGCCACTCTCCCATTTGTCTTGTGCTGCTGGATGCTCCCAGAGACACTGTTCTGGCTGCTCACAGAGGAAAGATACGAAGAAGCACAAAAATTAATTAATGTAATGGCAAAATGGAACAAAGTAAGCACTCCTTGTAAAATTGCTGAACTGCGCCCGATGCAAGATGATCTTGTCAGTAGCAGAATGGGGGATCATGACAGTTCTCCCATGAAGAAGCACAACATCTTAGATCTGTTCCATAACTGGCACATTGCAAGAAGGACCATTACAGTCTGGCTGATTTGGTTCACTGGGAGTTTAGGATATTATGTATTCTCCCTCAGTTCTGTGAACTTTGGAGGCAATGAATTTTTAAATCTGTTTCTCATAGGTAAATATTGCTTGATATAACTTACTGCACTTGGATCAGAAATACAACAGTACATGTCCAGGGATTATTAGTGTTGCTGGTTACTTCCAAGCCCAGATCCATGCTAGGATGGTAGCCATTCCATAGACTGTAACTTTATATAAACCGGTTAGCCAGGTAATTGTGTAACCATGCTGTTCATGGAATGCAAATAATTGTAATAGATAAAAGTTTCAAGCAGGGCTGGGGTTGCTGGAAAGAGGTTGGAAAGGATAGCCTGGTCATCTTAAGAGTTCCTCTTAAAGATTCGGTTTTCATTAAGACTTTATCCCTTTTACATTTGGCAATGCAGGGAGAAGTAAAGTAAGCAAGGAATTGTCTCCATTGTTACTGAAAAGTAATGCGACTAACTATTTCTGAACATATAAGCCAGTCTCCTCCATTAATAAAATTAATAGCAATTATATCAAAAATTACAACAGTAAAAATTAATACAAAGTTAAAAAAAGAAAAAACAGAAGTGTAGCAAAGAAGGAAAAATAGAATAGAAAGGAAAAAAAGACTGTAGTAAAAAAAAATAAAAAAAATAAAAAGTGGCTTTCTCCGCCATCACAAGTATAAACAATTTTAGTAATTTAACACCTTCTCCTAAAATTGACCAAACAATCTCCTCTTTCCATAACATACCTCTTGCTTACGAGCCACCCTTTTCCAATCCTTTCCGCCTGGAGGAACCCTTGAAATATTTTTCAGGCTTTGGGAATCTCCTGCCCATTCAGGCCAGAAGTTACAAAATTATTATATTTGTTTCATGTGTTGGCTTGCATATATGTATTAATAATAGTGTTCTTAAACTAAAAATAATGAAACTTTTTCCTTCCCTTGCTTCCCCAGCCCCATTTCTGTGGGTGGTTCCTGCTGCTGCTGAGTCAGCCCAGCCCAAGATATTTTGTGCTTGCCATGTGATGGACACCACCCATCACATGGGTGTTGCACCTGCAGAAAGACAGGCACACACCTGCAAGGAGGGGCACAGCCAAGAAGTCCCAGGGGCATCTCTTACACATGTGCTTTCTCATCATCTGCTGCTGCTCCTCCCTCCCTCCTTCCCTCCTCACTTGCTCACTTCTCTGCTTGCACCTTCATGCACAATCCCTATCCCTGCCTAGGATCCACATAAGCTCTGATGGGCCAGTCCACTGTTGGAAGTTGGAGGTTTGTTTTTGTTCTGTCTCTGCTGTTTTTAAAATGAATCATAATCTCCCAGGCTGGGTCTGGAAGGGGAATGTGATGCTTTTTGAGATAAGCTCAGCTGGGTTTCAGGTGTGGCAGCTGTCTCACCTCAATTACATCTGCCCATCCCATCAGATCTGACAGGAGAGGCACACTATGGATACTGTCAGTTAGGGAGCAACATTTGGCAGGTCCTAGGGCAGTGTTTCTCAACCTTGCCAATTTTAAGGCATGTGGACTTCAACTCCCAGAATTCCACAGCCAGCATTGCATTCTGGGAGTTGAAGTCCACATGTCTTAAAATTGTCAAGGTTGAGAAACACTCTCCTAGGAGATGGGCCTTCTCTGCCCTGGCAGTTTATGGAATATCTTCCCCTTGTAGCAAGACTGGCTCCATCCCTGTTGATTTTCTTAAAATCCTTGAAACATGGTAATGTCATCAGGTGGCTCCATTGCTATTAACATCTGCTGTTCTTTCTTAGCTTTGTGTTTTTAAAAGTTTTTAAAATAATAATTGCTTTTCATTGACATTTAATCTTGTTGTATGTCAACTAGAATCACTTTTTTTTGTGAGATGGGAGGCCACATAAATGTGAAAATAAAAACCAATTTTATATTCCTTACTTTTATTTCTGTCTATCTAATCTTGGTCTTTAGTCCCTTCAAATAATGTCATAGGACTTGATTCCCTTTCATCTTTTCTTTGTCCTGTCTCACAAAATTCTTCAAAACTTTAACAAGCCTCTTTTGTAAAATTCAATATAGGAAAATTAACCAGGTCATTCTCTTGGTTTGTTATTTGTATATTCCTTTTCATTATTAAGAAATGCATGTCCAGTGTAACATTATTTTCTGTATCATTCTTGTAGTCTATCATTTTAAAATCTTTTTTCAATTCAGTCTTGATCTTGTCAGGTAAAACTGTTCCTCATCCATAAGACCTTTTAAACTCAGTCTACTTATAGAATGCAGATACTCTGAAAATTAACTTATGGGTCCATTGTTCAAAAATATCCTTCAATATGTTCTATGTCAAAATATTTTGCTTTGTTCTATAATTGTGAGTTGAGTTTGAGCTTTCTTCTCTTTTAATTATAATCTTTAGTTCCTTCTAGTGTTCAATTTTTAAAATCTTATCTTAAAAAAAAAAATCAAAGCAAAGCTATTGTCCCATGGGAAGGGGACAATATTATTAATTCCAAAATCTTGTTTCAAATTTATCTTGAACATTAGTCTATTTGTAACTTTCTAAAATCAAAGTTTTAATCACCCTTTTGTTGTTTATACTATTTTCTTTTTATAAATTCTTAAACTTGTTAAATCTTTTTTCGCTAAGGGTTTAATTGAAAGTCACCTAGTGCTGTAAAACCTGTAGATCCAAAAGTTCCTAATAGCTGAAAAGAACCAAAAAAAAATCTGAATATGATTAGAAAAGTAAGTACTGAACTTATTGTCCTTTCAAAGGTATAAATTGTGGCTTAAGCAATTATTCCCTCATCTTCCAGAGCTCTCTCTTGCAAATACTAACTGTACTTGTATATTTATGTTCTTACTGTCCAGTGTTGTTTTCCAAATCTTGTTTTCCTGCTGAAAATATATGGCTATTGCTGGCTAATTTTAATTGACTGATATTGCCCATATGAATTTGTCTTCACATAAGTGAATTAATTTAATCACTTATTCAGAATTTCTAACATGCAACCTTTATTTCTCAGTTTCTGTACACATGATCAATTGGATGGTGGAGATGTTTATATAGCCTTTTGCATGAATGTTCAGTTTCTTACATTCTTTCTCTGACATTAAGATGAGAAAAATCAACTATACAAAAACATATTATGTGCTACATTTTGAATTGTATGCATAAATAGACATGCATCTGCTAACATGGTTTGCTTAAATAAGTAAATTAAACATGGTTTGCTTAAATAAGTAAATTAAAGAGCAAACAATAAGCCGGTGGCTCTCAATCTTTTCTTCACCACCGGCCCCCTTTATATACCTTTTGTGGTCATGCACCACCAAGACTTAAGATTTAAATAACATTTCTTCAAGCCTTCAAAGACCTCCTGTTGACGATATCGCTCCCCCCCCCCACAGGCAGACCGTAGATTGAAAACCACTGCAATAATCCACATACATAACATGTCTGAAAGGAAAGTTTAATTCCATATGTAGTAAAATTTACACACACCTCTACCAACTACTACAAAGGGCAGGGGACATAAGGGCTATTTTCCCCTTTGTTGTGTAGGAGTGTAGAGTTTTGAAGAATTCTTTGAAAAAAAGAATTCAATAACATTCTGTAAACACTAGCTTAGACCTGGAAGGGAGGAAGCAGTGAGAAAGAAATTCAAGTGTACCCTACCTGATTCTCTTTGATATAAGAGGAAGGAGAAAGAATTTCTATCAGGGTTTCAAGATTTTTAAACTACTTTCCAATAGTACTGATAGTGTCTGTTTCCTGGCCAGGCCTACCTCAAATGCTGACATCTGTGTCCAGTGAAATTCTGCCTAATTACTTTAGAATAAAGAAAGATAGGTTTGTGGTACATGCTTAACCATTTCCCCACCCCAATTTAACAAGATGCAGAGGAAATCATATTAACCTAGTGATTATGATTCAGACAAGTAAAGGACCTTTATGTCCTCCTGGGGAATGTTCAGTGTATGCTTAGTTCTCCAGCAGGATGGCTGTAGAGTCCAATGGATGGGTTCTATGACAGCCTTCCTGCCCGGCAGACTGGGTAAAAACTTTGGCCACACCCCTTCCTCTGGGCGTGACCCCAGTTTTGACTCAGTCTCGAAGCCCGATAGCAGTGCGAGATTCAGCTCTTCAAAAATCCATAGCTTAAGACAAATTCTCCCTCTTCCAAGACTAAATTTCCAGACGAAATTAGCAATAACAAGATCTTTAGCAGCTGGCTCAGACCGGATCTCCACCCAACGGAGGATCGTCGGAGCGGTGAGAGTATCCCCAGGGGCTAGGGAGACCAGCCAAGGGGTTCGGGGGGCTCACCGGGTCATTACCGACCCCCAGCACGTTTTTCAACCGATCGGCGGGGGGATCATAGGCTCAGCGCCAAACAGCTGTTCGGCGCGAAAACAGGAGCTGCAGCTGATCGGCGCGGACAATTGCGGCCGGAACGGCCGACGGAGCAGCGGAGCGCGCGCCACCTCAGGGGAGGGTCCCCCCCTTGCTCTTAAAGCCCGAAAGGGCCGTTTTAGCCGGCGTTCGCCTCCTGGCTTGCCGTCCTTTTCCTCTGCCGGCGCGCAGGGAGGACAAGGAAAATTTCAGAGCCGGCAGCTAGAACCGCCATTGTGAGCCTCGTGGTCTCCATAGGCTGTGGTTGGGGGGAGTGGTCTCCTCCAATTCGCCATTTTGAACGAGCGGATTAACCCGCCGTTCCATTGTGGGTGGGGCTTTTCGCCATCCGGAGGAGCCTACTTGCATTACAAAGAGGGAAGAGGGGGAAAATAGGCAAACTGCAATCAATTTGAATGTGATCTGTTTTTACAGTCACAGATTGGGGGAGATAAAGTCACCAGTTACATTGTGTTGGACCAGAACTGAAGAGTCCTGGAATTAGGTGAGGAGGTGAGGAGGAATAAATTTCTCTAACTGTTCATATAGTGACCTTTAGTCACTGCCTTGCAGGATCTCCTGTCCAAAGAATCCTGTCTGTCCGGCCATTGTTGGTATAGGCAGAGGAGGGCTCAGCCCCAAGCATCTGCATCTGATCTGCGTATCTTATTCCCCCACTCCAGGCATTGCCTACTCGGGGTGT